AGATGATTCTGTGCCAATGAATGGACAGCTGGTTAGAAATCATTAAGGTTTTTTTTTTTAATGTCACAGAACTATTTGGCAATCTGCTGAAGCCTAAGACTCCTAATAAGAATAGTATTTTTAAGTCCTTAAGTAAAACTCACAGGACTAAAAGGAAACTAATTGTAGTGAAATACAAGTATTACTATATTACAAAACCAAATACATAATATAGTAGTAATACAGGTATTTGTTTATTAACGTTAAATACTATCTTCTGACAGGCCTAACAACTACTGCAGTTTTCAAGTAATGGTGAACGTGAACGATCTTCTGGGATAAAATATCTGTGATCTCAAAGGTCTTGAGAGTGTTACTGTAGTTAATTGCCTACCTGCAAATTTGAGGGAAATGCTCCATTACAGCTAGAGGTTAGTGACGACAGAGGTAAATTTTCCCCCCATTCAAATTCATGGCACCCCTTGAATTCTATTCTTGGGTCCAACATGGATACACTTTTTTCCCAAGCTAAAATCTTCTTAGACAGGCTTGCTTTGTTTTAACCTATGACTCTCCTTCAATTATAGCTGGTAGGTTTTCATTTGCATCTCCATTTACAAAGCTCATTTTGGTTGCTAAGTCATCTTAAAACGCATTACTGTCAAGCTTAAACGTATAGATGTTATCCAGTTCCTCTGCTGCATAATTGAGGCAACCGTGAATTTTCTAACTTAAATTGCGCAGGTAATTGACTACATTTTACACTTCCTTTGCTTTCGTAGACTAACCTTAATGGATGTCCATTACTACTTGAATTATTTTGAGCATTTTTGTTTCATAATTTGGATCTTTTGCATTTTCAAAGAGTTTAAAATTATGTACCTGTAAGTCTTCAAATAACTCTCATCAACTTTTCTTTTTGCTTACATTGTACACTTTCTTTCATGTATGTACCTCGAATAAGGAATGTCAAGTATTTCCAATAGATTTATTTGAAGCCCAGTGCTAACTGAGAATATTATTGACAACTTGAGTAGGTACCTTCTTTTCCACTTCTGCTCCCTGCTGACTTCTGTTCCATGCCATCATTTAATGACGATGTGAGCACATCCCTCCCACAGCTCTTGGGTTAGCATAATCTTTATGAAATATCAATTTATTTATTTTTACTTTATTCGCTACTAGATGTTTGGGAATTCTTATGAGTGTCTTGGTAAAACTGACATGTTTTATTTACTTTTTTATATTGCTTAAAATGCAAATGGTATAAAAATCCTGAGGAAGTATGCCACAAAATTGATCTCAGTAGAGATTAAAATATGCTAACATTTATTTTCAAAAATATGGCATGAGGTAGACAAATTTAAAAGCTGAGATTAAAAAAAAAAAAAACCTGAAGGAAGCTGATCTTGACTTTTTTAAAACACAAAAGTACAATATTTAATGTATTCTACAACCTTCTTTTGAATACTCCTAACCAAAGACATTCATCAAAATGTTTAAATGGCAGAAATTTTTCTAACCAATTATAGCCAAAGCCCTAGCTGTAATTAACCGACAATTTGTATAATATTTTACAACAGAGTCAGCATATACCACTTTCTTATAAGCTTAGAAGGCTCTAAAATTTTACAGTTTATATGATAAAATCGAATAACTGCCTCATCTTCATTTGTAAGTTAAATTTGCATTAAGAAGTTCATAGCAGATAACAAGGTTTTGAAATTTCAGGTGAAAAAGAAAAGATATCAGAGCAAATATGTATCCAAATAGTAGATGAATAAGATATTTAAAATCAGAAAAACACTTTCTACATAATAAAGAATACATAATCTTCCAATCAATTTAATTCATTGTATGAATTCAAAAATATTTCCAAAGCATGCTATTTAATTTGCTTTAATCTCTTCATTTCTTAACATCTCGTTTCAGACTAGATTGGGCCTAGTTCAAAACTGACATTATACAGGTTTAAACCTGTTCAAAGTGTAAACATATCAGTTATTTAAATAATAGAACAATTGCATGTTTAATAGAAAGATTTCTATTTGGAAAAAAAAATGTATGACCTGCCCAGCAAAGCAGTTCAACTGGCAAGTTTGAGTCTTTATTTTATGTTATTGATATATAATCAGAGAAAGTATTTTCTAAACGAAAATTTGAAATAAAAATATTTTTAGGTAAGGTTATTATTCTTTAACTTCAGCAAGATAGGTGTGTGTGTGTGTATGTGTGTGTGTGCGTACGTCAACTATTGTATCCATTTTGTATAGGAATATGAATCATATCTACTTTCTGTATAATACAACATGAGCAAAAGAGGCGAGAGGAGGTGGAGAAAGACAATAGGCATGATTCCACAACCTTCTTTTGAATACTCCTAACCAAAGACATTCATCAATGGGCTGTTCCAGCTTCCTGAATATTAAAATCCACCTGTTATGTACATGATAGGTAGAAGGCAAGGGCTTGGCAATAGAACTGAGTTTCATTGGTAGAACAATAGTCTCATTTGGTAAACAAAGGCCAAACCTGCCCTTATGAAACAAGGAACATTAGCATCAACAACTGCAAGTATAATACAAAATCCCATTTAAAAAATATCTATGCCTTCCAACCACAGAAGTATACATTTGCTTTTCTCTGCTTTCAATGCATTCCCAGGGAAAGTTAAATGATGATTACATTCAACAATAACCTTTTGGGGCTTTGTTTTCCCCTTTAGATTTGAACATTCCCAGTCCAAGTTTTTCTTCAAGCACTTACTAACGAATGTAGTGGAAGTAAAGGTAAATGAAACTATTGTGTTTTTTCAGCATCATATTCAGAGTTATAACTGTTAAAAATCTAGCCAAAGAGCTGGCTTTCCTACAAAACACCCATTTAAAATTTTCCCTCATCTTCTTTAAAAAATAATTATGCGTCAGCTTGTTAAAGTTGGAATAAAATGAAGAAATTCATATTTAACCAATCCACTCATAACCCCATAACCCATTGCCATTGAGTCTATTCTGACTCATAGGAACCCTGTAGGATGGAGTAGAACTGCCTCATAGGGTTTCCAAGGCTGCAATCTTCAGGAAAAAGATTAAGCATCTCTCTCCCGTGGAGTGGCTGGTGGGTGTGAATCTGACCTTTCAGTCATCAGTTGAACGCTTAACCAGTGCAGCATCAGGGCTCCTCTTTAAACAATCACATGTGATAAACTATACAATGAAATTGAAACTTTAAAATTTGCAGAAAAATATAAAAACATTGCCCATTTAAGTAGCAACTACTATGCATTTTAACTACATGAGAAAGAGAAAATTTATATATATATGGCTAGTAAGTGTTGACGGGCTCCTTCATGTTAGTGCCTTTTACCTTGCATATGAGCTTCCTCGCAAAACTTTTTAAAGAACAGCTTAAATAGCTCCTCTAAATTTTAAAATGCCTGTTTGATCTGTCACTCTACCTCTTTTTTCTTTCTGCCAGCTGTTTGCAGACCTCCTGCCACCGCAGATTCAGGTTTCTCAATTTTTCCTGTAGAATATTGGCATCTGTTTTTGAAGACTGCTGGATTATTTCTTCCCCAGTCGCATTCAATGCTCTGACAACCGTTTGCCGATGCCCGATGCCATTCTGGAGTTCCTGTAAGATAACAAAAAGGCAAAACAGAAATGAAGCCCCGTGGCCTTTTATTGGAGAAAAGCTTAAACCCTGTACTACTACATGCAGTTAGACGGGAGAGAAGAAATTAAAAAGCTCCATGTGAAAGTTTTTGTATGAAATTGACATGCCCACATCCAAAGGATACAAGACAGAAAGACGCCTTTCATGTGTCAGTAAAATGTGCCCTCTCGGTTCAGCTCCAGTTTTTATTTTTGTAAAGCTTGTCAGTTAGAGGATGTTATAATGTCCTACAAATCAATTAGTTGGAAACCTTCTCAAGAACAAATTCGATTTCTTGTCCCCAGAAGGATGTTTCATGTTTAATAGTCTATGAAGTGTTGTAAAATTTAAATTTAAACATGAACAAAGTATTTGGATTTCTTAGTGTCTGTCGATATCAAAGGTGAAAAAGAGCAAACATAGTTTAACCACAGGATTGGAAAAATATTTTTTAAG